TAACAGCCGAAAACACTAATAGTCGTACAACTACTACAGTGAATAGCGTTTTGGTTGCGATCACGTTAGTGTCGGGCTTGTTGCTGTTATTGCTCACAATACTTTTGGCACAACCCCCTAACATAGGGGCCTTAATAATTAGAATAGGGTTTGGGGGTATGTAACCCCAAAATTATAGTAACTAACTCCCACAACCCTACTATAACTATTAACCTACATTAGACCTGGACCTAGACACCTCTAAACGTCAGACACGAGGCCCTAAACTCAACAAGAATGAAGATTCAGCCCAACAGCCCCAAACCCTGAGCCCTATACCCTAAATCTTAACCCTGAACCCTAAGCCCTAGATCTTAACCTAAACCCCGGCACCCTAAATCTTAACCCGGAACCCTAAACCCTAAATCCTAAACCTGAACCCTCAATCCTAAATCTTAACCCTGAACCCCTAACCCCTAAATGGCAACCCTGAACCTCTAGCCTTGAATTTTAAACCTCCGAACCCTCCACTCTGAACCCCGATCCGCAACATCCGAAAGTTCCCCAAACCCTAAACCCTAAACCCTAAACCGGTCCGAAAGGAAGAGACCTGAGGCCGTCACCGCCTTGGTGCTGCCGTCCGAGGGACTCGGCAGGGGGGCCCCGCTGGCCTTAGGAGTTATCGGCGGATTTTGGGGGATGGGGTCTAGGACCAGGGTTTTAAGAGTCTGAGATTTAGAGTTTAGGGTTTAAGGTTTAGGGTTTAGGGCTTCTTCATTCTACGGGTTCTTAGTTACAACGGCTTATAAGGCTGTCTGTTTAGGGACCTTTGCGCTTAGAACAGGGCTTTGGGCTCGATTCTATTATGACTCATTAGGGACGATTAGGGTTTAGGGGCTTAGGGTTTAGGGGCTTAGGGGTTTAGGGGTTAGGGTTTAGGGGTTAGGGGTTAGAGGGGAATACGATTAGCAACTTTGCCATTAGGCTTCTACATAAACTCGCAGGGTTTAGGACATCTTCAACTCTCAACTCAACCCTGAACCCTTGTAAGCATCAACAGGAGCAAGATGCAAAGATCTGTGCGTCCAGGGACTGCACCTAGGGCTTTGGGGCTTTAGGTCTAACATGAAGGCCGTCATTGTTAGGACAAGGTGTTCGGGTATGTTGTAGTAGAATCTAAGAAAGAACTCTAAGCAACATAATTGTGTATTATTCAGACGAAAAACATCTCGCTGCCTCGACCTTGTGTTATCACTGCGCGACCCTAAACCCTTAACTCTAAATATTGCAACACTGAAAATCCAGACTTTAGACTCTAGACCTCAAGCAGCCTACTTACAGTACATCCGAAATCATCGAGACCTTGAAGGCCTGTGAGCCCTAAATAAACCTTCTCAGCCATGTAAAAGATCTCTACGATACTGAACTTAGACCCCTAGCAAAAATTATAATTTTAGCTGCTTCTTAGGGTTTATAGTAGCCAAAGATGAAAAGTTATTTAATTCTAAGTACCCCTAAGTCTACCCGAACTCCTCCAGCAAATCGTCTGAGGCCCTGGCCCCCTCCCGAAGCATCGCTGCATTCAGCGGGTACCTCGCGCAGCAGCCGCCATGGGGTTGGTTTCGGGTTCGCCCTCCGCAAGGCTGCCCTGAGCCCGAAACACGACATAGGGTTTAGGGTTTAGGGTTAGGGTTGAGATTTTGTGTTGCGCTCCAAGAGTTTCCTTATACATGCTGCTCGGCTAGTTCGCCCACACCCTAAAACCCAAACCTTTCAACCGGAAAGCACCACGCCGTTCTGGAGGGCTGGCTTCCTTGAAAAGTCCTTTCCGGGCTCCTTTCGTTTCAGGGCCGAGTCCAGGACTTCTGGGTTGCTTTTTGCTGGGGCTCGGTGGCATTTCAGAGGCTTGAATTCAAAAGTTTGGTGGGTTTAGGGCTTAGGGTCTGCGTCGAGCGTGGGGAACCTGGCCGGTTCAGCATCTGCCCTGCAATCAGGGGTTCAGGCTTGGCAAGGCAAGGTATGGAACCCGAGGGAGGACCGGCAATCAAGGATGTTGGGGTGGCGTCGGTCGTTCTCGGTCATCTGCTGCACATGCACCGTGATGTCGTCGAGCTGGTCAAGGTTCCACGGAACGTGGGCCAAAATGTGCCCCTCGAAGCCGGTGGCGTCCGCCAACACATTAGCTATGGCTCGAGATAGCCTGGATCGGTAAGGGAGGCGGCGGGCCTTTTGGCGGCCCGTCTTTGGCCGGCGAGGACTCTCAGTTTCAGAGCGAGAGAGAATCGAGCGAGAGAGAGAGAGAGTTACCTACCCGTTTGCCCTTCGAGGTCTCCTTATTGAACCCGAATGCTTGGAAAAGGGTACCGCGTGTTATTAAGGGCCTACTGGCAGAGCTAGAGCGGCTAGAGTCTGCCCTGGGTTCAGGATCAAGGATTGGTGTTGGCATTTCGGGATCACGGCCAGGAGTTCTCTCTCTTTCTCTCTCACTCTGTCTCTCTTGGGGTTGAGGGATTAGGGTTCATCTCCGTCTGTCCGTCCGTCCGTCCGTCCGTCTGTCTCGCTCTGTCTCTCTCACGCTCTCTCTCTCTCTCTCTCTCTATCCCTCTCTGTTTGTCGCTGTCCCTGTCCTTGTCCCTGTCCCTGTCCCTGTCCCAGTCCCAGTCCCTGTCTCTGTCTCTGTCTCTGTCTCTGTCTCTGTCTCTCTCTCGCTCTCTCGCTCTCGCTCTCTCGCTCTCGCCCCAGAATGTAAGGGTCCATGGGTTTAGGGCTCTAGGGTTGCAGGCTTTAGGCTTTTATGTAAGGGCTCTTTGGGGGCTCTAGAAGGCTCTTTATTTGCAAAATTACGGATGATCCGGATTTCAAGTTTGGCTTTCACCTTAAACTCTACGCTTTATACCCTAAACCCGCTTGGTTTTTCGAGAGCACCCGTCTTGAGAAACCCCCGCACCCAAAGTCGTAACAGAAAGCAAAACAAAAAAAGAAGCCGTCAACTGCCGAAACTCTCTCTGGACTGTAAATAATAGTAGGATCCTTGCTGTGAGGACCATTGAATAAGCTAGATATCCAGGATTTGAAGAACGACCCCCAAGTAAATATATACATATGTATGTATGCATGTATGTATGTATGTATGTATGTATCTATGCATATGCGTATGTATGTGTATGTGTATGTGTA